TGTAGATCAATTTAATAACATCCGATTACGTTTCTAACTTTGAATAAAGATTACGTTTCAAAGATCAAACTGTGATCCGCGCGTGGTTCGAAGTATAAAACGAAATATATAAAACGCACGAAAAATTGTTAGATACGAGATCTTGCTCGACGATCGAAAATGTCAATGTTTGTTTATTCCGTGAGATTGTATTTTGAAATCGTTGACACGCCAATTTGAAATGGTAATCACAATCATCGTATTAGTAATTTCTGTGCAAAGTTTTAACGAGTTTCACAAAGAAAGAATGCTGTTTACGGATCGAATGAATATTTTCCGCATTCCGGAATTTAGCTCCGACGTCATCATCATCGTTAATATTCGGTTTTTTTTTTAATAGCATCATCTGGTGATCAAAATTAATGTGCGAGTTTGCCTCGCTCTCTGTAATTCATACTACTCTACAAAGTCTGTCGGAACAAGTACAGTTGAAACATTTAACGCAATAGAAAAATTATCGGATGATTATGTTACATTTTCAATCTCATCTTTTCCTATAATAATTTTTATGTTAACAATAGACGAGCATGAAGTAGGCTAAACACAAAGATAGATTAAATATGAGTAAAAATCATTTCTGGGTTTTCCCTGTAATATCTTTTCTTCCTCTGTTAACATTATATCGTACGTTTGCCTTAATAGTCATCAAGATTACGTTTAATTGCTTGATGACACGACGCTGATTAATTCACCGCCTCGTAGCTGTGATTCCCGTGATAATTGCAGCTTACAATGTAACGTACTAATTTTATACGTACGACGCGATCGGATAGTTATATTATTTAAATTGCAGATTAATTTAGATATCGGAGCGCCTCGTGCGCACGAAATGCGTTTCTCACGATATCGAATGTGATATACTTTCTATCAATATTTCCACACTTATGCTTTATTGATCGATTGATAAGCTAAGCAAATTCAATTTGGAATATACACATACATATATATTATTATACGTTTGAGTATCTTAAGCATATGAATATAATCAGGGAATATCCTCTAATAATACGTATGTTCTATCTATTAGTAATAGTGTATCAGGTTTATATAATTACATTCAAAATTAATCAGTTTTTTATAATATCTTAGCGCTTCCAGAGAATGTAAAATTATATATATATTTTTCATAACATTTTCCACAAATCCAAAAGAGGATCTATAGAATTATACGTATATGTTTAATCAAGCATATCTGTGCATTATGATTTATAAGTCTTTCAGACAGAAAGGTGTCACATTTATAATCACATTCAAAATTAATCGATTTTTTAGAATATTTTAGCACAAATCCAGAGAATCTAGGATTATATATATGAACATGTCTTTCTGACAGTTTGACATCTGTAACTGTTTGAAGTGGGAAAGATTAAATATTAAATATTAATATTTAATTTTTCCTATTATTAAGATCGAAGATAAAAAAACAACTCAAATCATATTAAAAAATTTATAAATTTTTTTTTACTGACAATTTTGATGCACGAGTATTTAAACAGTGTATTCATTTAAATTCTAAAATATCTAGAATATATATTTTTTTATTCAGATATTCAAGATTATGAAAAGTCTTCAGAGAAAGATGTGTCTACATACATCTGTATCAGGGAGATACAGATGTATGTAGATACATCTTTCTCTGAAGACTTTTCATAGTCTTCATATCATATAATCACTCAATTTATTTGTCTTTAACATAACTGTCGTTTAATACATAAATTGCAATAGTAACAAATTTTGTGTTAATTGTTCCAAGGCTAAAGTAGGGACAAACAATGGCAGGAAACAACGCTATCACATACTAGATTAGATTGCAATTAGTGTGTTAATCATTGCCAATTACATTGCACTTTTTCAGAGATATGCTATGTACATGCAAAATTCAAATCAATTCCGAGTAATACAAGTTCATACCGACATATTTATTAAAAAAAAGCAGTTATTTCCTACAGTTTGAATTATTTTATTTTAATGTAGATAATTTTAAAAAACGTTGTTGTGTATATATGTATTCATCCTTAATTAGTGTATATATTTTTAACGGAAGAATTAATATGTGGCTATTTAAATGCATTCATAAAATGATATAATAACATTTCACTTTATGTTCGAAATATTTTAATATTTAATTTTTTATAACAAGATTAAAAATAAATGACTTAAAGACAAAAAATTTATCTATAAAAATTTTTTAATTCTCAGAAATAGCTGATAATAAGAAAGATTTAAAAAATATTTTTGAAAACTCTAAATGCTTTTAACACTAGCTGTTATAAAGTATTTTTAAAACCATAAAAATTTGTTTAAAATATTTATTTATGTCTCTAATTATCATTCTATATTGAAATGCTTCTTTTATTCGACGATTTCAGCCTTACTAGAGAGAGTACTTATAAAAATTTGATCTGTTCTATTACTGACTCTTAGACAACATCAAAATCGAGAAAAAAAAATTGTGTTCCTTAATTATTCTTCAGAGAGAGTAAGAGAGAGAGAGAGAGAGAGAGAGAGAGAGAGAGAGAGAGAGAGAGAGAGAGAGAGAAAAGCTGGTTTCATTATGTTGTATATCGAATTTATTATGCAACAGTACTATGTTCAGCTATATAAGATAAAGAAAAAATTAGAAGTGATATCACATGTATGTATATGTATATATGTGCACGCGTCATATGTCGAGCGACAAGCAGGCTCGAGGCCGCAAAGGATACGATACGCCACGTATATCGCTCATGAACTGTCGTGGACTATGCACGTGATCGCGCTCGATCGCGTGTGCTCTGCTTTATCGACATTCTCTAGTCGAAGAATTACATGGCTCGAATCATCGTACGTTCTTCGCGTTTCTCTAGTATGTAGCACGTCTGATTTCGCGAAATGTCGCTTTTACGAGGAAGATTCGACGAAACGACACCGCTCCTTTCGAGTAAGTTCCGCTTCGACTCTTTCGGACGCGTTTCTTGTGCCAAGCGTCATTGCTATCATCCTCGATTTCGATCGAACTGTCACTTCCGTGTCATTCCCACAATGTATACATTATTATCATGACGCAAATGTAAAGATCATTCGATCACCTCAGGAGAGCGTTCTCATATATGTGTTTTGTATGTTTTGTATTACTTATTATATCATTTCAATTTATTTTTTTATTTATTATACATTGATTTTCATTGCAAAGTGTTTTATTATTTATAATTTGTGTTTTTATTCTTTAATTATTTTAAATATATTTAAAAGCAATGCGCATTTGTTTCTATTACTTATACTTATATCACGAATTTTTTATGGTTTTATTGTCTATTATAATTTTTATTATAGGCAAGTTTAGTCGCAATATTTGATATTCATGAAAATAGTACTATTGTTAAAGAAAATTTATAACCGTTGTAGCAGTCGTGGCCGAGTGGTTAAGGCGTCTGACTAGAAATCAGATTCCCTCTGGGAGTGTAGGTTCGAGTCCTACCGACTGCGGAAATTGAATTTTTTTTTATAGAAAAATAACTAGAGACATGAGATGTGAATAAATAAAAATTTGACCAAGAAACTCTCTAATGTTTTCCTGGAAGAATTTTTTACTAAGAATTTTTTGAGAAAATATATAGAGATATTATAGTTGTGTTTACTGCGAATACTGAAAATCTATATTCTATAATTCACGTTACGTATACTGTTTTTCAGTACTCGTAGTGAATAACGCAACGCAGCCTATAGTTTATAAGAATAATGCACTTTTTGAAAAAAAAAAATTAACTCGAAACACATTTTTTGCAATTTGTATTACAAAAATGACGATGTATACGTATAATCTAATTAATTTATCGAGGAAATTATTTTTTAATATAATATAACACATGTGAGGAATGCCGTAAATAAAAGAAAAAAGATATTTATATAAAGAACAAATATTTTACATAACTAAATACATTACTTCTACGAATGTGAATCATATCGTGTCATCTCTTTAATTAACAACCTAATGAGTGAATAATTAGAGACAAAAAAAAATTGTTACGTCAAACAGTTAACCGACAATATTGTTTCTTTGTTTTCCGTTATCAGAATCTCCCAGACAGCGGCGTATCCTATTAACTGTTTATTTACTCTTCTCATCACGTATAATAGCATCCGTATGTACTTGGTAAATATGTCAGATCATTGACGCGGTATGCTCTGGTGATTAATGAAAATCTCGCTACCATGTGCATGTCTCGAAGCAAGTAACTAATTAATCTTGGCTTTGTTTTTCCTTCCTCCAGACAGAAAATTTGATAATTATATCATCAAAAGAGAGTTCAAATACATAGATATACATATATGTGTATATGCACGTAAAAACATGTATAAACCTACTGCTAAAATAGGTAATATATATTTTTTGAAATTAAAGAATTTATAAATCGATATATTTTAATAAAATATAAACTTGCTAAAATAGGTAATATATATATTTTTTAAATTTAAAGAATTTATAAACCAATATATTTTAATAAAACATTAATGACATTGTCAATTATTTTTTAACATCAGATTTATAAAACGTAAAAATTTCTAAAAAAAATTATAATTAAAGCACAATGCTTGAGCATATAATTTCTTTATTAACATCTAAACATAATTAAAAATCCTGACGATTAGAACTGCCGATAGATTTAATGTTGCGTGAAAGATGTGTTAATTCCGCATGATCTTTCTACACAGATCTTTCTCACGTGACGCTCACGAATGGGTCTGTGTATGCTCATATGTGTGCCGCTGTGTATATTGATAGTACCGTTGCGACATTATCACATGATATGCGAATTAATACCTCGAGAATTATGCCGTTGTTAAATATTTTACGAGATTGTAATGCTAAATTGACTGTTTCTTTCGATTGTTTATCGTTTGTTTGAAAAAAAATCTTATCTCAATGATCGCCATATGGCACATTTAATGCGTTATCGCAAGCTGCTAATCAACTTGAAAAATCATTGCATTCCGCGTAGTGGTGGATTATCAAGAGTACTAAAGGTATCAGTGTTTAGTGAACACTGTGCTGAAGAAGAAGTCTTTTATCCAACAATTGTCATTTAATAGGTTTTTTGTCTCTTTTCAAAAGTTCATGTTGAGTTATATAGTGAAAGTTATACAGTTTTATACATGTCAATTTCGCGATTGTGTGAAAAATTTCAGCAGAACATTATTTTACTTATACTCTGAAAACTAAAGTGTATCGAGACTATGACACTGTGTATGTATAATTCATTAAATAATTAATAGACGTTGTTCAATTATTATATATATTATATATAATTATACATATTATATAAATATTACTTATATTATACAAATATTATATAAATATGATATGCAATTATATATATTATATATTTTAGTGCAATAAATTTATATTATTTAATAGAATATCAAAGCCGGTTATTAATAGAAAGAAGTATTTGCACGCGTTGCAATTTTGTAGTATCATGTTTGCGCGGCCTTCGATATCGCAACTATCGTCACAGCATTGAGAGGCGTGACTATGATTAGTTTTGTAGTTTTGCAATTCCTGATATGAATACAGTAGCTATGATGATAAGTCGATAATGATGCTTAGATATCGTTAATGTATTTCGCGTTCGACAAACATGTATTTTGATAAATAACCAGTTAAATAACGTAGAAAAACTGATGTCTATATAATAAATCTCGTTTATCTGTCTTTATTTAATGAGTGAAAATAAATATATTAAATGTTAGCATCTTTTTTATAAATGAAAACTTCATGGATAATTTATCTTCGCAATTTTCGAATTTTTGATATCTTGTTCTAAAGTTGAAATTTTATGATATTTAAAATCAAGTTATATAAAAAAATAAATATTAATGCTTTTATATTATTATAATAACATTTTTCATTTAAATTTTGAATAAATTATTATCTTTAGATATTATTATCATAGTTACTCCTTCCAAATATTTATTATTTTTATTAAATAATCGAATTAACATTTCCAGGCATCTTTATACGGATTTTAATTACAAAATTTATTATAAACTTTAATTACAAAATTGGAATTTTTTAATTTTTGCTTCAAATAATTTTGCAATCATTTTTGTTTTCACGTGTTCATTATATAAATCATAGGGCCGAACGTTGCACTCTCTCAAAGTTGCAACCTCAAGGGGCTTCTCCTACGGAGGATACCGATTCTAGCATGGCTACCTCTGTACAGTTGGAGCAAACTTCTGCAGGACACTTTGGCAGGGTTGACAGTGGGTCTGACCGCGATACCGCAGGGCATAGCGTATGCAATAGTGGCTGGACTTCCGGCACAGGTGGGTACACGATACGAGCGTATACTTGCAACTGTGTACTTGCTGCACACAAACTTCCTTCTGCGTATGATGTTCGAATTAAAGCTGTCGTTAAATTTCAACATACTTTAGCATGAGCGATAAATTCTCCGAAAAATCCATTAAAATACCTTAACCATATCCTCGAATGTTAAAACTATTTGGAACAGAAATATCAATTCCCTGCATTTAACTACAGTTCCCAAACAATTTTCGAATAAACCGTAAAGAGTTAATTCACGGTTATAAAACTCACGACGATCCTAATTTGAAAACGGTACACTCGTGGAACTATAATACGCAATTTTTTCGCTCGGTTAATTAAATCTCTCGAGTATTTTGACAAACTCTCCAACGAGCGACCAATCTAACGTACGACAGTTGGAAAGACAATTCTCGTTAGGTGAACTTTTGAAAACTTCAGTACGGCCTGTACAGCAGTTTCATGGGTTGCTTCGTCTATCTAATCTTCGGTAGTAGCAAGGATGTAACAGTGGGACCTACTGCGATAATGGCATTAATGGTACAAAAGTACGTGACCGATCTGGGAGAGGATCTCGCCGTAAGTGACGCTTATTAATTCTCGTCCAACATTTCGAAACTTAATTTTATTCTTTATACAGTATACAATTACTTTTTATTTAATATGTTCGTCTCGTGTCGAGGTAATATAATTTATTCAATGTACTCTCTTTTGTTCTAATTAATATATTCGTTTTGCGTCTCTATTTTTAAATTACTCGCTTAAACTTGTAATTATTTTATTATCCGTGATTGTGATCTTGTTGCAAGATAAGTATTTCACTTTAATTTTTTTGTATGAGATCCGGATGAAATCGTTTTCAGGTGCTCATGTGTTTCTTATCAGGCGTTGTGATCACAATCCTGGGCGTGCTTCATTTGGGATTTCTCGTCGACTTCATAAGCATGCCTGTAATTTGCGGCTTCAGTAATGCCGCGGCGATTATTATCGCTACTTCTCAATTAGGTACCTTGCTGGGTATAAAAGGGCGCAGCGACTCCTTCATCGATTCTATTTCAAAGGTTGTTAATCACATAAATGAAACCCAACCTTGGGACACAGTGCTAGGAGTGTGCTCGATGGTGGTATTGGTTCTTTTTAAGGTACAATCGATTAAGTTGTCGAATTATTACAAAGATTATCAAAAAAAATCATTCTTAGGAAGGATTTTTAATACATATTTTAGCATTTTTAATCGCAAACTTTCTCATTATTAAATCAATATTTTTTATTGTTCGCGCATGAAATTTAACGGGTTATTTGTAAGTTTTTTTTTAACTATACAAATTTCAATCGGATTAATTAATCGTTTCTGAAAAAATCTTATTTTTAAATTCAGATTAAGTGTCAGAGTAATTATTGCAGAGTCTCCTTAAATATTTTAATAAAAAAACAAATGCGCGTTTTTTATTGTGATGCGGTTATTTTTTTAGTAAGATACAATGAAAAAGTGTATAATTAATAGAATAAAATATTCAAAAATAGAAACTGCCCGGCAAGAAGCTGGGAACTCCTTTCGAAAAATTCATGTGGCTAATCTCCTTGGCCAGAAACGCTATAGTCGTGATGGTTGGAACTCTCATAGCTTACGTGCTATATTCTCACGAAATCAAGCCCTTTCAAATTACGGGCAACATAACGGCGGGTTTGCCATCGTTTTCCCTACCTCCGTTTACCGTCGTGAACGGAAACCGTACGTATACCTTCGCAGATGCAGTCGGCGAACTTGGCAGCGGCATCCTTTCGATACCACTCATCGCCATCTTGGAGAGCATCGCCATCGCTAAAGCATTTGGTGAGTAAATACTGCTAGCACATTTATATAAAAGGGTCCCATTTCGATTAAGTCCCAGAGGGAAATAACTACAATCAATAATGATATGATTTGCTTTTTTTGAAATCTCGCAATAATTTTGAAAGAAATCGTCACGAATCATTCGTTGATTTCTGACGCGTAAATTTTCTTAAATGTCTGCTCTCTCGAAGGGAAAAGAATAGATTCCTATCTCGTTGCAAGATGCATTTTTGGAAATTATCGAGTTATCGGATTCTTGAGCTATTTTCTTCAATGATAGTTTATGAAGCGAAATTTCATGACATGTCCGAAAACTTTTGACAAATTTGCAGCGAAAGGAAAGGCTCTTGACGCCAATCAAGAGATGCTTGCGCTTGGCCTTTGCAACATATGCGGTAGCTTCGTGAGATCGATGCCCGTGACTGGAAGCTTCACTCGTACCGCCGTTAACAATGCGTCCGGCGTGAAAACGCCGATGAGTGGTGTTATCACCGGCGCTTTGGTGCTTCTGGCATGCGGCCTGTTGACATCTACTTTCAAATTTATCCCCAAAGCCACGTTGGCGGCTGTCATCATAATCGCGATGTTCTACATGTTCGAAACGCATATTTTTGTTGTTCTTTGGAGAACAAAAAGTAAGCTATTAATTATTTATAAATATTTTCCAAATATCTCTAAATTATTATGCCGTTCGATACTTTCCAGACTTTTTTTAATTATAACTGAGAATTATTTATTAATCAATTTAAAAATTTGAAAGTAATTGTAATATATTTTATGTTCCCATAAATTAAAAAGTAAAAAAAATAAGTTCTAATTAAATAAAAATAAATGCTTTCTTTAAGTAGGATTACTATTTTTTAACTGTAATTATACGTTAAATTCTATTGTTCTTACGATTAAGATGCAAAAATAATACAACACTCGATCGAGAAAGTTAGCTCGTTATAAAATATCTGGCGCGGTTAATCAAGTTTCTCTAAGATTAACTGTCTCCTCTTTCTCTGACGTTGGACAGAAATCGATCTAGTGCCGTTGATAGTGACGTTATTATGTTGCTTGGCGGTCGGCTTGGAGTACGGTATGATCGCTGGGATTGCGGTAAATCTAATTCTCTTACTCTATTTCGCGGCCCGACCTGGGTTATTGATCGAAGAGCGAATCGTTGATGGCTTGACCGTACTCTTCGTATCGCCGAAGCAATCCCTAAGCTTCCCAGCGGCGGAGTACCTTCGAGAGCGAGTAATGTCGTGGTAAGTCCCACCGCAAATCCGCGTAAGAAACGGTTCGGTCGCGCGCGTATACTAGGTGCCTCGATAAAAGGGTCAAATGCCGCAAATTTTTAAACAGCATTCAATGTCTTGCCAAGTTGAATAAATACTTCGTTGAATTCACGACAAATAATATTATTTTCTTTTATATGTTTTTTTTTATATCGTAGCTTAAATTGAGAGCGAGAAACTTTTCATTTTCGAAAAAATATTAAAGTCTCGATGTTTTTCTTATGAAAAAATTAATCCATGTTTTGCAAAAAGCAATACTATACGCGCGTTTTACGCTTTTTTTTGCATATATAACATCTTGTATTTTAGAAAGACAGTTATTTCGAAATTGCGACTTTGTTGCGTATCTAGGTGCGACAAGAGGCCGATAAGTTTGCCAGTGATAGTGGAGGGTCGTCACGTACTCAGGATTGATGCCACAGTCGCGAAAAATCTGGCATTGCTCCTGTCGGATCTCACCGCGCGGAATCAGAATATCATTTTGTGGAATTGGTGCGAAGACGCGAGACAAACTTTGATAAGTTATGATCCGTCGCTCGCGACCTATTGCAGTTCGTCCAGCAGCATAACGCAGATTTTCAGGTAAAAAATTTCAATCCTCGCTTTGTCTCGCGGAAAAATTGCTTGTTTACAAATAGAGTTTCTGAAAATTATATTAGACATTTTTTCTTTAGAGTGTGTCTCGCTAACGTTTCTTTTTCTAACGAATTGAAAATTTAATGCTTTTGCAATTTTTGATAATGGATAAATCTAATAAATATTTTGGTATTTTTGTACGATCAATACCAATGGTATTTTTACGTTCGTTAATGATATAAATATAATCTTCTTTTCTCATCGAGTTCTCAAGTAAAATCATGAATGAAAATACTTTGAGGTAAAAAGTGTAAGTGCATCATAGCATTTTGAAAATTTACAAGTATTTATAGCAAAATATAAAAAAAAAGGTTTATAATAGTAGATTTATAAAAAAAATAAAATAAATACTTCTTTCGATTTTTTTGTATTATTTTTGAAAATTAAATAAGATAAATTTGATTATTATATTTAAAATATACAAGTAATTTTAAATCTGTTTCTGAAAGTTCTATCATAATCGTTTTTATATCGAGTTTTATTGAAGTTGTATCCTACTTTTGTGTCATCGGAGTTAACGCCATGACGCATTAGTTCGCAAGTTTACGGACCGCATATTTCTCTTCTCGATACTCGAGGGAAGAGGCCGTATGGCGTTTCGAAATTTTCCGCGCTTTATCAGGCTCGACGTGACGCGCGCGAGTTTGCAAATTTACGAGCCCTTGCGCTTTTGAGGAGGGCACATCCGATGGTACTCGGGGGGTTAATGGATTGTGGCGTCTCTGGAAATTTCCGTATTATCAAACTCGATGAGACGTGACGTTTAGCGAAAGCACATTTACGAAGAAAAAAATCTATAGTTTCGCTACTTTTTTTCGAGAAAAAAGGGAAGAAAGATAAAAGATAATTCTTCTCGAAGGTCGCTTAATAACTGACATGTTTCGTTCGATCGAAGGAACTTCCCCAAGTTATTCGCGGAAGGCATTTATGCATGTTTCTGAATTTAAATTCTGAGCGAATCATATAACAGTAGATTTTATATAACAGAAATATATAACAGAAAATTTTGCAGCACACAACCATGCACGGTATCTAATTATAATTAATAAAATGAATATTTTGAAAACTAAGACGGGCCAGACAGTTTTCTTTTTATGATATTTTAAGACTTCAAGGAAAGAATATTTGATCAAAATATTTCGTGTCCAGTGCCAGATTCGCCAGAGTAGGCAAAAGTGTTCAAAAAATTATAATAAAAATTATTATATTATATATTTTTTAAATAAATTAAAGAAATGATAAAGAGATGATCCTTGTATCATTTCGACACGTTCACAAACATTATTTTAATAAAGTCATTTCCTCCTGAAAATGTCATAAAGTACATCATCGTAAAAATATCCGACCTAATTCAATTTCCAAGATACTTTTATTCCATTGATTACAATTGAACACCCTGTGCATGCAGTTTCGATCGAACATCGTGGGCATTTACGCGGCGACCTATATCATCACGTATGCGCATACCGAATCACTTATGACAACCCCTCTTCCCCTCCTCCTACCACCGGTACCAGAGGTATTACACTTCGAACGTACACCATATTGTTTCTATCGTGTAACGGCCGCGGCGGGACGGTGGTTGATATAACAGCTCGCAGGGTTCTAAACTCGTTTCATTTCGTATATAGAAAACAAATCTCCGCTTCGCGCATCGGTATGCAGCTGACAGCTATTAATTTGTCATCAAAGTTCTGCGATGTATTAGTAGAATCAATCAATTCGTTCTGAATCATTCCCAATCTGACATTAATTTTATATATATGTATATATATATATATATATATATGTATATAGTATATATATATATATATATATATATAAAATTTATTATTTAATTATAATATATTAAATGTGAAACTATAAGAAAATATATAAACTAAATTTACATAAAAATTAAAAAACTCTATTATAACTCTATTACTTAAAACAATATAACTGACATACTTCAATCAAATATACTTTATAAATATAAAATTAAATTTAGAAATGAAATGTAAATATTAATATTAAAAATAGCTATTATAAAATGGAATAACTTTGATCTAAATCTGAAAATGTTGATGGCAGCTTTTTTAGTTAGAGAATATAACAACTTATTTATAATTCACGCTCTTGCGTAAACAAATAGGAGTATCTATAATGCATAGTTATTTGTTTCGCTAAGTGTAATAATATAACCTTGCTAATTTCATTTGAGTATCTTATATTAAAATTTTCTAAATTCCGTTAAGTATATATTTTTATATCCATAAAGATTTATAGTGGAGATAGTTAATATATAAAATTAAATAACACATATAATAACTGAATAAAGTTTTCTTTCTTGAATATATTATTACGGACATTTCTACGTAGAATTCTGACGACCTAGTGTGTGTATGTGTGTGTGTGTGAGAAAAACTATTTTTGTTATGATTATTCTAATTCAATTTATCGATTATTTCACTTTAAATATTATTCGTTTACAAACTTCCATTATTTATTTTTCGCTCACAAACATAATACGTGCCGTCCGCGCGTACAACTGATATCTTTACTTTGCAATTTTAGATAAAAAGAAACTTAATTTAATATAAAAATATTCCATATGCAGCACAATATTTTATATGCAGAATAAATATACATGTATTTTACGTTCGAATAACTTTCGGACAATAATCAGGTATGCATCACTTTTCTGTTTTCAGACGAGACCGTGATATGCTAATTGAGCCGATAGAGCTACCGCCATAACAGATATTGTGTTCATTATGTTCCTAGGAATAAATTACTCAATCGCGCAATTTTTTACCAAAATTTTTTTAAGTGCAACGTTGATATGTACGTAATGATAAGAATATTAAATATAACTTTCGAAAATAATTGCAATTTTCTTATGTAATCGTAGCGTTCCCCTTGTGCATTCTGTAGTGAAATTCACTACGTGAACACACATAGCTGGTAAAGGGATAATGCGATCAACCGGGATACATGTAGATTATTGATAATATTATTTTTATCGTCAGGAAAGCGATGGACGTGTTACATCAACGACAAGGGTTGTTACCCTTCATTTTTATCACGTCCCTTTATAGAACGAGCGATCTTTTTCTGGATCAGTTGTTAATATGCTATCCAAGATTATCGACTGAAATTATAAAGAACTCTCTACACACAACCAGTATCATAACTTACAATCGTATATTCTCTCTTCTGTCTTTCTTTTTCTACCTTTCTTTTTTCTTCCTCTCTTATATATGCGCAGAATTCGCGGATTAAAATATTATGAGAAAGAAATTTTTTCCAGAAATTAAGAATTAAAAGTTCTTGGCAATTTTTTATTCCAAGTAAAAATTTGCGACTTGTAATACTTAAAATTGTTCAACGTACCGCAGACTGCGATTAAAAAAACGATCATCCGGTCTGCAGATTGCGCGTTCAACGGCCGCGTTCTCATTAAAAAAGATCGTTACTGCCCGCTATATTACGCCATGTACAATGACCGTGTGAATACGATCCATCGAAATATCGATCGTAAATTAGTATGCATAAGCGAGCGGCAGGATAATTTTTTGTCTAACATCGATAAATGGATGAAGTACACGGCCATTGCACGGTACACGTGAGTCATGGACAGTCGTTTAATCGCGGCTCGTAAATGGCCACTAAAAAAATTCTCGTCATTCAGGATCTGTTAATGTTATTCGGGACAAAATATCGCGTAAATACATTTATTACTTAATTTTTTTAAATCTCTTTTTTACTGTTATTAATATTTATTTGCAAATTTATATGTATGTGTGTAAAAATGTTGGAATAGAAGCATCTTCAATGCTCCATTTTTTCCTAAAATTAATGTATAAATATGTCTATATAATTATATACATATAATTATATACCTCAAGTCCTCATAAATATATTTGTATATAATAGAGAAATTATTCCAATTACAGATTAAAGACGCTTACACATACGACGCGGCCTCGACTCGCGATCAGAGTCCTCTCCTCGGTGAAGTAAACAAATTTCGCGTGAGAATTATTACGTACCTAAACGACACGCATTTTGCGTCGTCGATGTGAGGCTCGCTAATAGCAGAGAGCATTTCTCGTTCGTTCGTCGAAGATCGCCAAATCATCAATCCATTCGTGGCGTCGCGCGCTGCGTCGTGTTCGTGGCATCCTCAATCCTTCTTTTTTCCTAAAATGAATGTATATGTCAATATAATTATATACATATAATTATATACCTCAAGTCCTCATAAATATATTTGTATATAATAGAGAAATTATTCCAATTACAGATTACAGATGTGGCGCTGACGCGTACGACGCGGCCGCGACTCGCGAGAGTCCTCTCCTCGGTGAAGTAAACAAATTTCGCGTGAGAATTATTACGTACCTAAACGACATGCATTTTAATTGCGTCGCCGATGCGAGGCTCGCTAATAGCAGAGATCATTTCTCGTTCGCTCATCGAAGACGATCACTAAATCATCAATCCATTCGTCGCGTCGCGCGCCGCGTCGCGTTCGTGATCCCCGTACATACCTCCGTACGCGCCCCTTCGACTGCAGGTGGACGCGCAAGCGTATAAACGACGCGTCTCGGCGGCCAATCGTGACCGCGGGTGGTAGAGGGTGCTCCGATCGATGCGGCGGCGGCGGCGGCGGCGGCCGCCGAGGGCCGAGCGCGTTCACGTCGCCGACGTCTGCTTTGGTTTCGCGCGGCTCGCTCGGCGTGGTTGGCGTGGTGCTCGCTGACGATTGGCCTGATCGAGGCTGACCCGGCAGGCAGGGTTGCGTGCGTGCGTGCGTGCCTGCGTATTCGCGTGCCTGCCTACACACATTTTGCTCGCCCCTCTCGGGGTAGACGGGATCCTCTCTCGGGACTCAGGAGTATCTTCCCCTCGGCTCGTCCGTCGCGCATACATCATCATCCACTCCGCGGCCGTCGAATGCGTCGTGACAGCGTGCCGCTCGCTGCGCCTTTTTGTTTACCCGCCCGATGGTTGGCGACGCTCGAGATCGCCGTCGCGATATGAGCGCGAGGCGCACGGCCGCGGTTGGCGATGACAGCTGTCACAGGGATGTCGGAGTCGGGACACTGCGGCCAGGCGACAGGACATCGCGCGGACGTCGAGCGCTAATCGTGAGTAGCCAGCGTCCTCCTCACGTTGTTCTCAATATCTCGCGAGCTTTTCGCGAAAGGGCGGCCCGACGCGCCTTCGGCGAAGCTGCTCTCTGAGGGCTCTGCTTCGTGGCGCAAGCTGTGCCAGCGAGCGAGGGTTGCGCCGCTCGAGAGGGTTGCACCGCGAGGTCGGCGTACCGCGCTCGCGGCACGCTCGATACTTTTTTTTTTCATTACCTACCATTTTTCGCCTCCCGTCCTTCACGCGCGACAGTGAAATCAACCACGGGAGCTCTCTCGCGTGACGGATCGACTCCGACCTGCCCCCGCGCGAGTCGCGTACTCGCGATGAATCGCGTCGAGGGTAGCGTCGAGGTTCGGCGTTCCCCAACTGGACGGTAGGATACGGGGAATTCGGGGAACGAACGGGCGCTTTTCATGAGGCAGACTATAACAGGTTAAAAAACTCGTTTATATCCTTTTATCTCACATTAGAAGTTAAGCTTTAATCAACTCCGTCGCACTTGTTTCGAATTTTACGAATTTTCGAGTAAAGTAAACGCACGCGAATTCACAATTCATTCCGTGTGCACCGAATTTTTAATTAACGTTTAATTAACGCTTCGAATGTTCCTCTTCTCCATTTCGATGTTCCAGTTTTTTCTACGCGTTTGCCAGGAGAGAAATCCTTCATGAATTTCTAATTAAGGAGATTGTGGGAATGCTTATTTACAACGTTATAATGTATTTAGTTTCTTTCCCATTTCCATTAACGACATACTAACGTATTTTCAGACACATAAAGTTTCTCTTAAATTTGTCCCATTTTCCTACTTAGATTTAGGCCGTCTCGTTGCTTTACATTTTCAAGCATACAATTAGCTTTTTATATATTAATTGTTATTTGGTGAAAACAATGTTGGAAGTAGTCATCTTGTACGAAAATTCTTCCATTTTTTTGCATCATATATCTTTGTGCGATCTAATTCCAAATTAAAAATTTATTACAATATATAAGCTTTCTAAGATTGAGTAATAATTCATGTGTTTTCAAGTTTTATTCACGAAAAGACTTTTTCATTCTCTTATAACGTGGAAACTATGCTCCAATATGTTCGCTAAATAACAAAAAATAATCTCTAGATAACAGAATCTGTCGTTAAAAAATAATTTGCGGTAAGTGGGACAGCCAATACCCCTCTGCGTGCTTAATATATAAAGTATTATATATATTTTATATATATTTAATATACAAAATACACACATGACTTCTCTCATTCATCACGCGTTTTAACGTCAACGGAAAATATCGTCTCGCAGTCTTTATTAATGCAAGTTTATTTCAATCTTTATCATATATAACAGAATAACATAAAATGATAGCTCGTTTGACAGGTGACGTTTATATATTCAACATACACACGAAGTATTATAAAAGTTACTATTGAGTTGAATTTTGTTAAAAATGCGAAGAAAAGCTCATTATACTCATTATACGATAAATGTAAAAACTGACACAGATAAGACCACATTTGCACGACGATTTTCTGCAACTAGCTCACTAGTCTTCTAGCGAATTAAAAAACCAGTAGCTGAAAACATTAGATTTATAGAATTTATAGGATATAAAATTAAATGTATAGAATAAATTTATATAGAATATAAAATAATAATTTATATGATTATATTCTTTTAGCTGCTAATTTTCTAATTCGCTTGAAGAGCGTGCTACTTGCTAATGAAAAAGTATCGTGTCTGTCAATCAAGCCTTATCGGCGTCAGTTTTTATACATATTTACGTATACGCTCTTCTAACATAATTCCCATTTCCATTATATTTGATTGTGTCACTGCTTTAGTCTGATTTTCATCGCGTACGTCGCCAATTACACGATTTGCGAATAAATACCACATGATATTGTAGCAATTATCGACAATGTACTCGGCGACATTCCGTCCAATGTCAATTTGAACGCTTTATTGTTCGCAAATTATTTTCTTGCGCCTATTACACGTATTTGCGAACTGCAAAGTAGAAATTCAATCGATACACATAAAATAATCACATAATATAAGAACAAAAAATCGTGAGTTATTAAATATATAATTACGTGTGATCATGGACGCTTAAACGGACGATTAAATAATTAAGTAATTTTTCTCTTTCCGTGAAATGTCTCTCTTAATCTTTATTCGTGATATTTTTCAATTATTAAATCCAAAGCGCCAAAATTAATAAGCTAATCTAACTTTCTTATTGTTAAATTAACGACATTGAATAATATATATTATCTTAAATAATATTATCAAAAATCTTGTTTTTTAATTTATTATACTTTTATTAAAGGAAAGCCGATCTCGACTAGGTCTTCTAAAAAGACACATTTTTTTCTTGCAAACTAGACATTGCACTTTATTAATACTAATAAAAACGTGTGATCTGTTTAGATAAAGAAATAACAATATCCATAATTCATATATTTGTGACGTATATTTGTTTTTATATAAAATCAGCTAAAAATAAATTCTACAAATGCGAAAGTAACACACTTATTTTCTTTTGCAAATTGTATAGTTGAAATATTATTAAGTATTAGATACATTATTGTTAATACTTAGATTATTTTATATATTTATAGCTTTTTAAAACTATTTTTTATATATCTGTTTGTTATGCCCCTTTTTTTTAATTTTTATCAGTTTTGGGGCTTATTTTATTAAACGAATTTTTTCTTATCTAACGAAAATGTTAAAAATCGTAAAATTCCCAACAGTATTATAAAAAATATTATTATTATATATTAGATAGAAGATATTTTTTAGTTTGTATTTCATGTTTTCAAAGTTTTTTTTTCGCTTTTGTTTAAGAGATATGATATGAAAACAAAATGTAGCAAAATATCTAAAAATAAAGTATGACCGTATCGGTGATCTTAATTTTCCTCCAATTACGCAAATGGATTAATTATTGCTTGTTGTAACGGGACGACTTGCGTCATTTTTAATTATCTTAATTCATGATATATTATAATATCGAGAGTAAAATCTTTTTTGTTAAAGTTTTCACTTTTTCAGCGATACATATCTGATAACTCGGGAGCGTAAGATAAATCATTTTCGCCGCCATCGATACCCAACGAGACGGTTTAGTGACCGATTTTTTCTGCTTTACGTAATCCCGACGGGTTGAACACACGCTCGCGAACGGCTAGATAAAACGACCTCGAGATAAGAGGATTAAGTGTCGCCTACTCGCGCGCGGGCACAACACATCCGCGCCAAGAGAGCGAGGGAGGAAACGTGCGCGCGCACACATGTCATTTATGAAAAATCGCGTTCTTTTGTCTCTTTCAATGCGCGCGGATAACATCTATATACGTACGTACGTACGTACCGTGCCGCGTAGGTGGAGATTGAGATCGCGATACCGAGTATCACGGGACGAGCATATTGCAGACACGTTGTTGTTTAAATGAGCTCGTCCGCAGTTTGTATTCGCGATTCGCGATAACGAATCGCTTATCTCTCTACATTTCCTCGTGATACTCGTATTATACTAAGCAGAGATTATAGACTCTCGGCTTTTTCGAGTCACGATCGATATATCACGGTGGGAATTTCACTCGGCGGCGATCGTTACGTGAATTGAGTGTGGTACCTAATGTAATGCTTGTTCACACATGCGATCTCGTTTTCTTGTATGAAAGATAAAAGACCCTGTTCCGTTCTTTCAACTTATTTTTCCAGTACAGTATTCCACATCGTTGTATTCCTTTTTCGGTTATACAATCGATAACAGCCCATCTTGTGACGGCGCTGAGTAATCACCTGCAATTTTAAGCGAGAGCGGCGGACGTTATTGAAAGTTATTGATTCTTTTAATAATACGCACACGAGAGTGGCATAATAGGCTTTTTCAGACGATCGATGTGCAATCAAAGCGCTCGAGGACACTCGGCATATTGAATATGTGTTGGAAGATAAATTAATAGCATTTAAAATACACACAACGCACATAAATGTAACTATCGCAGAAGCAGACAAATTGTAGAAAAAATTTAATCCCGAGCGAGAATTTAGATACTTGTAACATTAATTTTCATTTAAATTTGCCGACATTTCTATAAGACGCGATAAATTACATGAAATTTACATATATATACGATTTGTATGATAAAACATGGAACAGAGCTAATATTGCGGAATAATTATAGGAAAAAACATAGAACGGCTATTTTATTTGTTTATTTTTACACATATATTATATAAAATATGATTTATATAATACCCTGAAACTTTTTTATTTTATATTTACCCTCCTAAGGGCGGTCTGCAAAGTTCGAGATTATATAATTAACGGTGGTACGTTCTTCATTTCCTTATGGTTTCCCATCGGAAATCGATTCTCTTAATTTCTCATACCGTCGGCCTTTATTCTTTTTTTTCTACTTCTCTCTGCGTTTCCGCATAATTCTTTAATTATAATCTCGACTATCATAGATCGTTTCCGCGGATTGCAGAATACTTCGTCAGTTAAATCTGCAATTAAACTGTCAGTCGGTGCCGCTGAAAGAACTGCTGTCGTGCAATTAACGATGGCGACGATTCCATCGTCGGTGCGCGCAGGAACACTTTATTGTTCCCACCGCGAAATAAATCATTCTCACCTCTGTGCCTGCCTTAATGAATCGTCCATTTTCATTCGTCGCTAAATACCGAGATTTCGGGACAGCGATACGAGATTCGAAGCGATTTAGCGCTAATAAAAAAAAATTGTTGATAACTCGTTTTGAATCGAGGCTAAATGTAGGAGCAATCATCCACGTGAATGTTTTATTTTATATGAGTAACAATTGAACATGTACGCGTTATACATTTGATTTTTCTAATTTATTTTAAAAGGTTTCTCGTGTACAATTTTATGTATAATCTTGTTTTATATTTTTCACAAGTATTGTGTTACTGCGATTATATGAGAGAAACGAAAGAGATTATTTTTAAAACTATTACTGGAAAGAGTAAAAACACGAAATTTCCGGTATTCGTAGTAAATGTTCTCAAAGCTTTTTTCGTTATGCGGTCTTTTTTAATTTTAAATTATTCAAGTGTGTTTAATTCCTTGCGGCGTCGTATCTCATTACAAGCCCATGTACACTAGAAATAATTTAAAAATATTGATGTAATATTCTTTCTTTTCAAAATATTTTATTCTTTCAAGTTGAAGGACGATATTAGTTGTTTTTGTTTCAAAATATTTTAAATATTATATTACCAATATTACTTTTTATATTGTTTGAAACGCAAAATCTCTAGAAAATATATTAGAGTATATCATACAATATAATTCCATTTCGGCAATAAAAAAAAGTGTACGAATTACGTTTTTTTTGTCCTTCCGAAAACTCTTTCAAGATAATCGCTTCGTTAGTAGATCTTTTTAAGACGACGGGTCGAGAGGAACGCTAGTTTGCAATCTTGGACGGTGTCTCGTATTACCTACAGGTCACGACGTCAGAAATCAGAGGAAATCTTGCGATGTTAGAACATATTATGGCCTAGTAAAGGAATCGATCGGCGCAACAGGCGGAAGGAAATAATATCCGTTGCGGTCAAACTGACCGGATTGCCTTTAGGGCCTTCCGTATTAATTTCCGTACTATATAAACGCTAAGAAATATATGTTGAGAGAAAGAGAGAGAGAGAGAGAGAGAGAGAGAGAGAGAGACAGAAAGAGAGAGAGACGGGATAGGAAGATGACTCGATTACAACAGGAATCATAATAACCGTCGTAATTCCAAGCAAACACATTCGTCTACACTTCATTCATTCATGGTTATTTTCAGCGTATAATTTTATTGTTGACCACAAGTTGACCATTGTGAATAATTAAATTCAAATAAGAGGGAAGCCTTTAAAAGCACGATTATTTGTTTTCTGAATAAATCATTTCATAAACGGACGCTAACTTGACAAATTCTGAATAAATCGTTTTATGAATGGACGCTAATTTGACAAATTTCCTATCCTGAGACAAACAATGCCAATTCCTATAAAATGTATTATTACTAAAAAAAAGCTAATCAAATATTTGTAATTAAATTGGACTTTTTGATCTCGATTTTCTCCTTATAAACAATATATTATACATGTACAAGAACGAGAAAGTAAAGCGCTTTTAACGAAAACTCGTTAAAACTTTTCAAAAATATTCTCGCTTTTCGATGCAACAATCTCCTCGCAAGGTTCAACATCTTCGAGATCGTAATTTCACGTCCTTTTTGACGTTGCGCATGATTAAATACGCATAGGGGAGGTCCGTTGTTCAGTTGCGCCCTGGCGTAATATTATCCGTTGGCAGGAGCGTTAAACGACGTCGCTAATTTATTGCGATACTCCTCGGCGAGTCCCGGTTTTAGGTCGCCTTCGTCATTTATGCAAAACCGGTGCAGCAACGAGGTCTCGAAGCGAGGTTCCCGGCTGCATGCTTGTTCCTTTGGCGCTTGTAAAAACAGAGAGTGCGTTGTAAAAGGGAGTGCTGCTTGCAGAGCAGCGAAAAGGGAGTCAGTGTGTCGAAGCTGAGGCTGTCGAAAGTTAGTAGCGGTCCGTTGGTGGCTGACTGTAGGAGGATTTATCCACTGCGGCTTTCTGCTGACGAGTTATTATGCCGTCGTATCACACGTAACTGATGCGGATCTCTCACATATTATCTCACACGCTCTATCAGAATATGTGTTCTATATTATGAGAAAAGAAAATATGTGTATAAATATTATAATGTATATTAAATACTAAAAACTTTTATTAAGAATAATCCGTATTAAAAGACTATAATACTATTAAGAAGATATTAAATTTGATTAGATATTAATATCAATATTATCGTATATAATATTTTTAGTAGAGAATTACTTTTATATGATATGATATATGATTAGTAAAAAGTATGACATTCGTAATATTAAATTATAAATAAGTAAAATTTCATATATTATAAAAATATGCTTTTTCCTATATAATAATTTTTTAACATTGTTCAGAAAAATGAGAAAAAATCTGTTATGTATTAATTTCAGTTGGAAAAAATAATGTAGAGAACGTACCGAAGAGAGTATATAATTTTACCATCACTACCCATTAATTTCAAAGAAAGTCAGAGATATAATAAGGAAAATGCTACTTATACTTTTATTGGTTATCTTATTAGTATTTATTGCTAATAATTATACTCAGAACGAATCTTGACGAGAATAGCAAGGTATCTTATCCGTCACAACTTTTTATTTTTATTTTTAACGCTATCCTTGATAAGCAAACTTTAAATGAAAACTCTGTTGGAGCCTTGAAGTAAAAACGGCTACGTGAGATAATGGTAGAGCAAAGTTTGATTTGTTCGTAAGTTTTCCAAGTCACGACTGCACAGTTTCTATTTTCGCATAAACTGTCGAGATTTTAAAATATGTTTCGCTAGATTCGAGACATCTTGTATACATAGCATCGGATTTGACTGCCTTGCCCTTTTATAAAGTGCCTCGTGTAAACGACGAAACCTGTCTCCAGAAGATAAATTGCAACGTAAATCTTCAGTGGCAAGACTTCGCGCCGGCGGCAAGTGTATTTATTCCTATAAAACGTTCTCCGGGAAACAAAATAATTCAGAAATGATAACGATCTGATTATACGGAGGAAATTAACGGTAGGTTAGTTTATTAATGCCTTCTCTTTATTAATGCCTCAAGCTAGATCTGCAATATTTATGTAATATTCTCGTAACGAAGAACGTCTCAATATTTCGGGAAGATGTATAGCTAATTATATAAGCGTAAATTCACAAATTCAAGTGTATTGCATAAAAGTCGCTATTGGCGTATTATTTTATGAAATTTCATGCAACAATGTTCGCAAATTCGTTATATCGTATAATTTTAGAATAAATATGTTTGATAATCTCATCGATACGGCGATGCGTAGTAATACATAGTAAACTAAAAAATAATTGTAAAAAAAGTAGTTTTACGAGTAATAGTTCGCTACACGAAATTGATTTTTAACATATATGCGCTTTGGACACTGACATATATTTTATCAACGGCTTTGAAGAATTTTCGACGTAGTTTTCCATCTTCTCTTTTTTTAATTAAAGACTACCTTCGCACGCGACCCAGTCGTTAAGATGGTCGACTGTCGTAAGCTCGTACAATTCATGCTGCGATGTCCTTTTGCATGGACGCGGAATTGCGTTAGCGTCTTTTTTTAGCGTCCAATCAGATATATAACGTTAAAATATTCTCAACTTGATCGTCATCACATTTCCGTGTTAATGCATACGAATTAGTTCGCGTCGTAAAAACCAGCCTCCTTATCAAATGCACACAACATTATCGTTCTTAATGCGATCGCATTATTCTGCATTACCTTCCGATTTGTTGTAACACTTTAAATAAAATTATATCGCATTAGAATTTCGCTTTAATATACCTTAAGGATTTAATTGGTTCGAATTGCGGGACCGTAAATGAACGTGAAATCGTATTCTATCATAAATTACTTGCCATTGTTTTTCAATAATCGTAAAATGAATAACCGAATAATTTTCTATTTTACACGCTTGTTGGTTTTATCATTAATATCCAAATTTTGTCGAATTTAGCTTCAATTATCAATAACATAATTCGCTTCGACCCACGAATAGTGCGCATTATGGATAATAAAGTAACAAATCATTTATATAGCGAGATATTCTGCGCATTAATATGGGTTCAAATACACGAATTAAATAACACGAAACATAAGATATTTTATTAATTTGAAATAAAAATTGATAATTTCTGTAATTATTTCCAGGAGTTGCTATCCCCATGCTTGGCAGTAATTTTCTTGGAACCACTTTAAGTAAGTAACTGATAATATATATATAAAATAAAAATTTTTTCAGTTAGTCTTCTGATCAAATGTAATTTTATTATTTTTATTTTTGTTTTGTATGTTTTGAATCAAGATTACAAATAGGGAATTTGCGTGACATCGAGAAATGTATTGATAAAAAGTTGCAGAGGATTATTTGAAAAAATAAAATTAATTTACAGTGCAAATTATTTTTGCTCGTATTTCATTGTATTTTTCATATTACGCTCGTGACAATTAAATAAAATTATATTATATTGAAATTTTATCTTTAATGTGTCATAACGATTTAATTGACTCGGTATAATTGTGAGACGGTAATATCATAAATTATTAGCTATTAATTTTTAATAATCGAAATGAATAGTCAAATCATCTTTTATTTTATGGCTACTAATTTTATCATTAATTTCAATATTTTATTAAATTTAATTTTAATTATTGATAATATTGTGACGATCGGCACGCCTCTGAAAATCAAGTAACAATGTTAGATGTTGGGTTTCTTCATACATCCTATATTCGCGATATAATATATACTTACACATCATACACGTACAGATAGACGTTACACAGAGTTAGACAAATACAACAGGCATTTAAACTTCTAGGAATGTCTTGACATATTTTTTTATAAATGACAAGTTATGTTTACCTGTATGTATTTTTATTTCAGACCGATACATTTACACGACAGATTTCGATACTTTTATTTAAACTCTTTTCGTGTGAAATTCGAGCGACAAATTTCAAACATGTTTATTAACCGCAACGATAAATTAAACTAGAACGTATTATTATTAGAACGATCTAGAACAAGTCGGATAATGGACAACCGACTTCAAGAACGAGAGGTTGAGAAGTCAATTTGTGAGACATGAACGGAGTCAGATGTAATCTGCATTTCGCCTGAACTATAATAAAGTGTACGCTAAACTGGACAGAAAAACAGTTAATTAAAGACATTAATATGACACAACACTCCTAAACCATTCGTTTTAATTCGGTTTTCATTGACATTTAAAGTGGATTTTTTATTCCGTTTTTTCTTTACATTTTATCATTTTTATTAGTTTCAGGATGTAGTTGAGTTTATATTTATAGTTCACAATTTTACAGCGTTTTTATATTTTATCATTTTTATTAGTTTTAGGATGTAGCTCTTGTTTATACTTAAGATTTTATAGCGTTTTTATATCTTTTTGTATAAGCTTTGTGGACTTTGACGTTAGCTTTTTCGTGTCGCTTAAGTTATTGGAAAACCAACCGTGTTTTGATTCGGACGAGAAGAGCGCGGGTGCTTGCTCACTTGCAAAGTGTCGCTTGCAGAACCACCCCTCGAGCATGGGCTCGAGCAGGAGATCCGGCTCCGGCGGGAGCCGCGCGAACGCGGGCGTTCTCAAGGAGCGCGCCAACATGTCGTTCATGCTGGTCGTCATGTTCTTCGCCGTGTTCGGCCTGATCGTCCTCACGGAGATATTCCTGATCGACGAGAGGCGCGGTGTGAGCCTCGGCGGCACCGGCGTACTCGGGGGTCACAGGAGCGGTCATCGATTGCCAGCTGCGCCCGATCGTCCGGATTACGGGGAAGTAGGAGTAAGTATTCAGAAGGGAAGAGCTATTCCCCCCTCGCTATCTACGACGATTTACGTAACTTCGTTCCGTCTGATTCCGCACGCGGGACTTCCATCTTCCCGATAAATTCATTTCCACCATCGCGTCGGTCATTATCTGATAACTTTCCTCATCGCTCGCGGACACACGTGTAAACGTTTTAAACTTTTAAATTACTCGATAGTCTTAAATGACTTATGTATTTCTCTTCTTCTTCAAATTAATGATTTGATGTATTGAAATAACATGCGTAAAAAATATTTTACAATATAATGTCACAATAGCGCGATTCTTATTTATTTTTTTTGTTTGTTTCTTATTTTGAGTAATACGATTACTTATCTTAATCTTACGGTACCTTTCCTCTGTGAATGAAAGAACTAATTTTAAAGTTATAATTTTCAAATTTTGTTTAATATTGTATATTGTATTTTTTTATCTTTATTAAATTCTTTATAATTATTTATTGCTTTCACAGTAATTCTCGAAGCATTTTTCTATTGTAAGCTAAAGGACACAGAATGGAATTTTAGAATCAGGAATGAGGTCGACGACTTTATACGTTCTTCTTTCTTCACAAGAGAACGCGAACAAAGCAAACACACATACAAAGCAACGGTAGTAAGGCGAAAAAAAAACTCGCGGACTGTGAAAAGACCGAAAACTTTACTTTACCGCGTAGAACATCGATTTCTCGAGCATACGCCTCGTTCTTTTCGCCCCTTCCTTTTTCTTCCTTCGTCGATATCTGTACCTGCTATACAGGGTGTCCCGAATTTAAACGTCCAAACTTCGAGAACGTGTAGGGGATTGATAAATTTAAAAAAAGAAGTCCTTTAAAGATATGCTTTGTTTTAGAGAAAATCGCAAAGGAACTCTAAAGGGCTTGTTTTCTTATTTTAATTTATCGATCCCCTACACACGCTCCCGAAGTTCGGACATTTAAATTCGAGGGACACCCCGTATAGTTTATGCATCCTTTGCGTCTAGTACCGGACAATGATTCACGCGAGCCTCCGAGAACTTTGAAGGAAAAATAGCTCTGTACAGCAGCTTGCTTCAACGACGCCCCAACGTGGTTCGGAAAAGACATACGACCGCAGTGGAAAAGTTTAACCGGATACGAGCGAGCGACCACCTGACAAATTAGTTTGCTCGATTCCGCGGAACTTTCTTCATCCGTTTACATCTCCCGTCCGAGATACCGCGAGAGAGAAAAGCCCGACTATTTTAAAACTCGTCTCGCAAGTTAACCGATCTGAGAATCTTTGAGTTTAAGATCTGACTCGATTTGACTCCGAAGGGACAAACTGATTTTAATTTAAAAAGTCTTATGTTCTATTAATCGCGCCTGTTAATTGAGAAATTTAGAGAAAATTTTGTTGCTTAAATATATAATAAAACGATTTTTTTAATGCTTTGCCGAAATCACGTTCTTCTCATGTGTCATCGAACAGACATGTATAATTGATTATTGAGTGGTATTGAACTTTAAAGAAAACACGTAAGTATGTGGTAATTTCGATTGATCTCCAGGCTGAAGATTACGCCGGTTTGAAGGGTAGCTTTGACGAGCACGTCGGGTTACTGGTACGCGGGGAGAATGGCGGACAGAAGACGGTAATACATCCGGATCCGCGTGGCTTACCAAGCTTACCGCCCAGCTTGGAAGCTCGTTTACCGCAGCTGGATCAAAATCTAAAGGTCACGCATGCCGAATGGTTGCCAGTCACTAACACGAGGTTCGTCCACTTGTGCGTGACAATCACGTACCTGACTAATTTATTCTTACGGACGCTCGTATTTTTTCTTTTATTTTTGAGTTTTAGCTTCTCGAAATCGTATTAACCGTGTAATACATTCTATTTTAAGATGTGTTGTTTTCACAGTGTCGTTATTAATTCTATTGTTAAAAAACGTATGAAATTTTAAAATAAAAAAGTAAAATTTACAATAAAGTAATTTTTATGGTCTATATATTTTTATCAGAAAACATGAATTTTAATTGTCAAATCATCAAACGTGAATTTTGATTGTCAAATATAATTTTCTTCGAAATTGTAATAAATCAAATGAAGCCAATTGTTATTTATTTTACGCCATGTACGCCACATGGAGGTAATGAGATGTATGTTTGGTCTAGGTTCAAATTTTTCGTTTATTCGGCATATTTCGACAACAGAGTTAGCGGCGCGGGTACGCCGGTTGGCAAGAGTCAGGGTGTAGTACGTGTGATAAGCGCTACTAAAACCAGAGGACCGGAGCGTGTTTGGTGTAGGCTCTGGTATCGACAACAAAACGGCGCAAACGTCACTGCCTCGGTAACGGTAGCTGCCAAAGTTAAGGTATGCTCCTCCCAGAGAAACAATTTTGTTTCAAGATATCTAACTATCCCAAACTTGAAAGAACAGCAATATTATCTCAATATTAATATTTCAGTTACTTTGATGTAGTTAGTTGCTCTGAAAGTATTTACAAAAGTTTGGTTTATTAACTTCATATTGTATTTATTAAAAGTCTAGTTTATTAACGCCACAGGGAAATTGAAATAAAATATGGCATAAAATAGCAGGAAAATTCAAGCACACCATTGACAAAAGAATTTTTATATAAAAAAAATAAATAAATATCGTTTGAAAATTATGATACAAAAATGATATTGTATTATATATAATGTAATGAAAACAAAGAAATATATTTGAAACTTGTAATTATGAGAAAAAGCTTTTTTACATGAGCTGAAAAAGCGACGTACAGAAATAATATATTAAATAATAACGTAATAAATATATGCATTTTATTTTTTGAAATAAAGTTTTTCAGAAAAATGTGAAATATATTATTTCTGTATATAAACTGGAAAATAGAGCAATCTAAATCTCAATCTATTGTAAAAAAAAATAAACTGTTTTCAAAACGTTCAAAAAACTTTTAGATCTTTCAACATTTTCAAGACTGCCGAAATATATTCAAGCATTCAAAAAATTTCTTATTTTTAATATGACTGATTCGAAACATTCTTCATCCTATATTCGAAATAACCCGATGTGTCTTCAGCGCATCATCACTTTCAGGTGATCCGGGAAAATTGGAATCTCAAGTACAGTGCCTGCTTCGTGATATGTCCGCTACCTAAAGAATCCCCGACGACGGATAAGGTGCCAGAAGCGGTCAGTGTCGTCGCGAGACTGCGAGCGGTTCCGACGAATCGTATCCTAGTACAGAATCGTTTCGAGAGCAGGACGAACGACAAGGAGACTTTGGCTGTTTGCGTCAAACCTTTGCATTATTATTACAATAGGGTACGTTGTTCGTATAAGCAGCACCGTTAAATAATAGATGACCATTACACCCGTAGATATAGACGACGTAGGAAATTTACAGACTTGTGCGTCATTTGCTCGTGCTTATCGCTCTTGTGTTTTGCTTCTATTCAGTATAATGCATACAAATTTATTGTTTACATTTATTTGTTATTATTTTTGCCTTTGCGTGTACGTTTATATATTTTTTCAATTTAATGGAGTAGTAAACTTAATACAAATATTTTTAATTTTTCTTTTATTTTGTAATGATTTATTTATTTATTTAGTTAAATAAGTTAATTTAGATTTAAATAAATTTTAATAGATTAAAAAATTTTTTTAAATAGAAGTTTTTTCTACAATATTAGAAAAGCATACAATTTTAAATATGCAAAAGCGAATGTACATAAATATGTATAAATTAAAAGGAAAAAATTTGAATAATTGTTTCAATATGCATTTGCACACATTTTTATAATCTATGAATTTCTTTAACATTTTCTATTGCATACATCAACGTGGTAAACATAAATATATGATTGATGAAAATAAATATATGATTCGAGTGTAATTCAAATAATTTATATCGCATAATATTTTTGATGCTATCGTACTGATATAAATAATAATTTAAAGGTCTCTGTTGTACTTTGCAATCTAGCGATATAATTATGTATTTATAAGCATAAAGTGCATCCGGGTAAAAGCAGGTTCGTCAATCGATTCTATTTATTATTCTGTGAAAACTTCAACGGGTAACTTTTCCATGGAGAAATGAATGCATTACGAGGTATCTCGATATTTTGACGTATAAAATCTGTTTGATATTTATAGGTTCTGCAATTGGTGGAATTTATCGAGTTGCACAGACTCCTGGGCGCTACCCACGTCACCTTGTATAACGATACTGTAGGCGCAGCGGCCGGCTGCGCGTTAAAATATTACGAGAACAAGGATCTGGTTACGGTGCTACCGTGGCATCATCTCGACATGATTTCCCAGCGGGAAATTCGCACGGAGGGTCTTTTCGCGGCGCTTAACGATTGCCTCTACCGGTCCATGTACAAGTACGAGTATGTGGCGCTCGTAGATCTCGACGAGTATATTATACCGAGGCATAACGACACCATAATCGATCTGTTACGGTACGATTACGTTATTCGCCTTAATAAAGACCATACATAATACAACTGGCACATATAGCATATTTGGAAGAAAGATTGAAAAGTTTATGCGCACTAGAATCGTCAGATTTATTATTTTTAAATCAGTAGATACGAAACGATGTAAATTAATAACATGCTAAAGCTATAAATAATTATTTACTTCAAATTTGATAAATCATCACGAAACGTTTGTGATTAAAAATTTAATTTCCTTACAATTCGTTTTTGTTGATTTGATTTTGTTGTGAACAACCCTATAGCGAAATCGTTTTCAGGTGGATGGGAAATCGAATCAACATCAAATCCACGGGCGCGTTTTCCTTTCAAAACGCCTTTTTCTACCTGCAATGGGCGGACGATCCGTTCGTGGCGACCAGCCGCACCCCCACCGAGGCCGGTTTGATCACCCTGAAGAAAACACGGCGCAGGACCAAGTTGCATCCGCACAAGCAACGCAGCAAGTATATCTGTAAACCGCAGGACGTGGTGGAGGCGGGTAATCATTTCGTCTGGGAATTTATTCCGGGTCACGGGACCCTGAACGTGCCCTCCGACGCCGCCATCCTGCACCATTACCGCGTCTGCGAGTTCGGCGGCGACGACTGCATCAAGACGCAATCGACGGTAGATAGAACGGCCTATAAATACCGAGAACGGCTCTCGACTAATGTCGACAAGACGTGGACGGAATTGCGCGCCGAGTGCTCGCTGCCGGAGCTCGACCCGGTCCCGGCGTTGACACCGCGAATCAAAGCCAGCCCGCTCGGCAAGTTGGTCAGGTAGCGAAAAACCATCGTTGAGATTCTGTGGGACATTGGCAACTTTACAGGTACACCGAAAGTCGCGAGGACCTATTTCTACAACTACGGCGGTCCTTAGTCTTCTCGCTAAAACTGAGCTAAGCGAACTTCCGTCTTCTTTTTTTATGAAACTCCCATCGAGTCGCGTGTGTTTTTCAATTTGCGGAAGAGGAGAATACGCTTACCGGCGAGAGAATAATAGAGATTGTCGCGAAAAAAAAAACAAAAAGAAAAAGAAAAAACAAGACGCGAATTAATCATATTTTTCTACGTGACGGATCCTTGAACGGTTAGCGAAATCTGGGGACAACCTGCCAAGTCTATCGAGTTTGACACTACATGGGTGGTGCTTCTCTCTCTCTCTCTGTATCTCTTTCTCTCTCTTTCTCTTACGGTTTTATACGGACTCTTGTATCTGTATATCTTACAATTCTTTCATTCGTACGTGCAGCAAATCTGTCTGCGACAATTGTATTATCGTTAAGAAAGATTGTTACACGGAGGGCCTAAATTGCGGGCTAAAAGAAAGCAGTTTGGTGATAAACGGCGAGCAACATTAGATATTATTCCTATTGTACCGTTATTTCGAGGGTAAACCTTTTTTTTTTTTAGATACTTGTAAATCCACACAATGTATCTTATGCATATCCATAGAATCAATAATTAGTATAGATGATATATGTACAATATGTATTTAGGAGACTGTTAGAGATTAAATCTGCAGAGACAGCCTAGAATGCAACAATGCTCTCGAGAGAACATTAACTTCAGATGCAGTCCGTTTAAAATTCTGAAATCTAATACTGAAAAATCACAAATTTATTTATTTAACATAAAGTTATCGGTCAGTATATTTTTTTCGAATATAATATTTTTAGTATAATATTTTCCTCTCCAAAACTTTATAAATTTGATTTAATTTGGAGTTTAGGTGAATCCGTTTGTTTTTACTTTCATATCTTTCTATACATCCATACGCAAAAGTATAAAAAGTAAATGGCTTTGTGATACAATAAATTGTGTAATTCGTCCGCGTTTACAATCGTCTCGTCTTGCGTCGAGAAAATTCTACATAATGTGAGAATTTTTTTTATATAGATAATGTTTTTTAAAACGAAGATAAACACGAAGGATATTGATTTTCGCTGCGCAAAATTCTATTAACGCCTGATCTGTTATTGTTAACGTTTATTTAATATATAACAGGTAAATATCGAAAATATCGAAAATTTATGTACAAGTAAACAGATCGATCAATGGTGAAAATGAAAGAAACTGCACAAGGGAATTTGATATAGAAAAATAAAATACGATTGTATCACATAGATACAATTTACGAGATGATAAGAGGAAGATTTCTGAATCGGTACTTCGTAATATACCGAATGCTATTGTGGCAGATGAATTTAAAAGTTTTTCTATTTATTTATTTATTTGTTAATACGAAGAAATCATATTTCTTACGCACACGCAAGTTTATGTATATATGTGTATACACGCATGTGTACGTACATGACACGTACATGTAAAATAGACTTAAGGTACATACATGTGATCGGTGCTGAGCTACAGTCGACGACGTGTCGACGTTGATTATGTTGACGAAATTAATAAATATGATACTAGGACAATATATATTTTAATTTTCTTGAATTTCCGTTGCGTATCATTTAAAAACCATTAACCGCATTATTTATTATTTATGCGAATATTAATGTATTACGATATAAGGATTAAATAGTTACTTTTAAAAAAAAGGACCGTTAAATGCACGTATTTATCGGAAAAATTGTTATTCTAAAAATGCTGTTTTAGTATATATTTTATACTACTGTGCAATAGTAATAAATTTAAAATTTGTAAAATTTTATAATTTGAATTGTAATTTAAATTTGTAATTTAAATTGAAAGCAATATAATATATAAAACGTTAAGTATATTCTAATTATTTGAAAATGTTTTATTACAAGAATAGATTAAAAAATATTAAAACAATTTAATATATTTTACAAAAAAGATATATTAAACTTGTTTTTCCTAAACAATGACAAGGAAATGGCATTAATTGGGAATAAGAATTATACACGCTATTCTTTAATATATTTTGTATTAAATTTTACTTTTAATTAATCTTATTAATTTTACTTATCTATTGATTATTGTTTATTTCTTTATTTAATATTAACATTTAATATATAAATCTGGATAATCGGTAGAAACTTTATACTTACTAAAAATCATCGTCCGAATGTCTTTCTATCTTACTGACGGACCGTTTTTCTTGAGCGGCTTTGAGATTATAGGTGGCCATGTCTGTCGCACCCACGGAATTTAAAAGATCCTCGTCGTCGTCATCGTCAAGATCGCCATCGATCAGTAAATCACTATCGCTATCCAGCGAGCCGTCGCTGTCATTTTCCTGGATCGTACCCCTTTGCCGTCCGGACATGCTACCGTAAATGCGCCGCTGGGTATACTGCATCTTTGACGCTCTTCCGGTACCTGAAATGTTTTTAATTTGTTATTCCAAGAAGCGTGAAGAAAAAAAACGTTACATTTCCTTCGCATATCTCTCTATTACATCTCCAAATATCCTATTAGTTTGCAAGTGATTTTCAGAATTATATCGTATAACGTGCGAGTTATTTTCTATTATAAATATTATTACTTGATTTGGCACGGGGTTGACCAGATTTTTCTGCCGCTGTGGCTTCCGGATTCGTAAGTGGGGTAACTAGAGGCTCTTGAAGATTCGTAGCAAATATAGAATCGTTTCCTTCCATCATGCTTTCGAAGTTCGTATCCTCGGCTCTCATTTGTTCCAGTTGCTTCTTCGTTGCGGCTTGCCTGTAATTGAGATTAATAACATTGTATAATTATATCACGTAACTTATTATATGTTATTTATGTAATTATATGTATCTTTTTATCTGATTTTTATATATCTACGTTGCTGACAAATACCGTCTTTCAAATCTTTCTTGCTCCACCTTAGCCGTGTCTTCATACAAATGTTCTAAGTACGCCAGATACCGGAATTTCTGTAAGTAATCATCGTACAAAGCTCTGAACTCGACCTCGAGCTTCTCGAACTCCTCCATGAATGCTGGACGAACTTTCTTCAACGTATGGAGTCTCTTTTGATTCCGATCGAGTTCCGTTTTGCGTCTCTCAATTCTCGCGTCCAAGTTCTGTTCTGTATCCTTCAAAAGTAAATTATATTTGTTAATTAATAAAATTAATAAATTGTATCTTAATGAAACATTTTGCAGAAGTCAAATAATTTAACAATTTTAATGTTAAACACACAAGAATTGTCTTGTCAGATAAAAAAATTTTACCTTGACATTGTCGATTTGCTTCTTCGTTTCGCTGATCTCTTTGCGCGTGTATTCGGTGACATCTTTTAGAGCTACCTCTATTTCCGAAGTGTCGAATTGCCTCGCGATTTTCATATTGCGAATCTCTCGAAGTTCCACTTCTCGGCCGAGTAAGTCAAAGAGGGTCGCCCCGTTGATGGTCAACTGACTCGCCAGCTGTCGAGTTGTTTTCAGCTCGTTAATTTTGTCGGATATGTCGAAATTCACTGCGTTCTGATTACCGCCCGATTGATTCTTCTCGGTGTTGCTACTGTTCTGCGCGTCGTATAGCAGCACGGCTATCTTCAACATCTCTTTCACCGCATAACCGTCGGCTTGATACAGCTTTTTCGTGTTTAATTTTACATTTGTCTTCAACGCCTAAAATGCATAAAATTACATGTGTTACAAGTTATCAAAGACTCCTTTTAACTATTTTTTAAATACTTTATACGTTATAAAATAAATCAAATCTATCGAAAACAGATTTTACATTTTGGATAATGTTGGCTACAAAAAGAGAAACATGACAGAATGTTTTAACAATTAAGAAATAATGACAAATTGCTAGCATAAAACCAAGCAGAATCTGTCATTCTGTAACCATTTAAGTGAAATGTATCCATTTAAAAGGTTGCAAAATGGCAGATTCTACTTGGTTTCTGCTGGCAACCTGTTATTAAATTATGTTGGAGTTACAAGTACAATGTAAAAGTTCTACTGGAGAACAGGAGCTTAATGCAGTTAATTCTAATCTACTGCAATATTCTACTTGAAACTGTTGGCAAAAAGTATTGCGCTAACACTTTACTTATTGAATGATTAAGAATATAAAATTTTTAAATAAACAATAATTAATTATAATTTTATCAAACACTTTAATGAGTTTATAGAATAAATAAAAGAGATTTGGCTGCTTTTGAAGATTCATATTATATTAGAATAAATATAACATTTAAATCATTTATTACCATAAATTCAGCAACACTTCGAATTAATGTCACGCGTTGTTCCTCAGTATCGTGATCGCTATGAATATCAACGTCCGGATCGAATCGTTTCACCAGCCAGACCAGAATCTCCGCGACCAGGGGAAAATTCGGCACGCGAAAATTCGCGATGGAAATTAGCCTCGGATAACCCAACACCCTCATCATCTCCGTGAAATCTATGCAGGCAGGCAAGAAGAAAGTAAATTACTATGGTTTGCATCTGTATCTATATATATTAATATTAATGTTATATATACGCACTGCGTAAATCACGGTAGGACATTTTCACAAGCTAAAACTCATTCACTGTAGTCAGTGTAATTGTCGTCAAGGCAGACTTCCATAGTCCATGTTTTCTTATTCGCGACCTCAACGTTGCCATAGAAACCATTAGTATTCACAGACAATTAAGACTGTGAGCAATCGATTTTTTATTATAATATATTATTGAATTATATATACATATATATAATCCAACTCTAATTTCTACTAAAAAATATATACAATTATATATATATATATATAATATATATAATTATATATATAATTATATATATTTTTAACGTATATTAGAATTTATTTTCAATTTGATCAGCTTTCCAATAATCAGTTTTAATTCAATATCTAAGACGCATTTTACCATGTATATTATAGATTATTTAAAAATTCATGGTACAATATATAAATATAAATTCTTTTTTTTTTATTTCGTCTATACAGTTCATTCCTATGTATAATTATACAATACTTGGACAATTTAAATAATTAACTAGATTAATTGATTTAAAACTCAGCTGCAGGGGCTTGTCTGTTTTGCTTGACTTGAGAACGAGCTCTCTTCTCGTGTAGCCTCTCCCTAGCAGCTCTCAGCTGACTCTTCCGCTTCTTTTCTAGCGATTCGAGCGACGGTTCCGGTGCCGTTTCCAAAGTGGCTCTTATCATCGTTCTTAACTTTTCAAGAGCGTCCGCCAAATTTAAGTGCTGAGATCTCGTCAAATCCGACTTGATTATTAAGTAACCCTCTTTGTTTATCTTGTTTTTGTGCTGAAACAAATAATTTCGTATTTGAATCTATCCCAAACTTGACAGTATCAGATTGTCAGCCAAAAATTTGATTGAGCTACACCTTTATAAATTAAATTAACCAAATGCAAATTTTATTTACATGCACAATTCCGCTCACCTGTTCCGCTAACTTCGTCCGAATCTCTTCCGACAGCCAGGTAGCATTGTCCACGTGGAACCTCAAGTCTACTTTGGTGTTCACACAGTTCACATTCTGTCCTCCCGGTCCGCTGCTAGCACTGTACGCTATTTTCACTTTGTCCAGGGGTATATAACCGCTGAATTTTGCTTTAGGATCTGGCACCTGGGAAGCGAACAGTAGTTCAGCCGACATGAGGTTATGTTACGCATAGATAGCGTAAATAATTACAGAAGCGATATACAAAATTAATTTTATTCATCACATAAATAATTGTAAGTAGATTAGTATATATGTGTGGATTAACACTAACGAAAGTTGGAGTGTACAGCTTCTGTTTACTCCCCGCATACAAATTCTCCAGGGATAAGGCACTTTTGAAGCTGAAAGCTCTGCCGAGATTGTACGATGTATCCCGACTTTTAACGTTGCACTGTAAAATTCTCAGACACTGTCTCCTAACGAGATTCATCTTCACTTTTATCTTTACTACTTTTCAACGAAAACAACCACCGAAATCGTATGTTTTGGTTAGAACGGTTACGAAAACATAACCATACTTCTCTCAGCGCGAACGTGTCGACACTGGTTGTTGGCGATTCGATAATCGATCGCGGAGAGTTCTCGAGACGTTCTCGAAATGCGATATACGAAATGCGATATACTTTTGAAATTTGAACGATATCGCCGTGGCATTCCCACGCGTACTTACGCGAAAGAAAGTTAGGTAAATGACGAAAAAAAGGTCAAAGAGTATCGAAATCTGGGCTACGTTCAGAAACTTCGCTCAGGTGCATCTAAATATCCTTTTATCCCTGTTTAATATTCGGCGAATAACAAGGATAAAATGATATACCGTGAATCCCTGAACGCACCCCTGTCTGAATTGTCTCGAGATAATGTCATTTTTCAGGCATTCCCCGAGACAGCAAGCGATCGAAGAGGGCGACAGAAATTTCTGTTACCTGTTTTTTTTTTTCTACGCACGCCTTATACTGGCGCCAACTAGACTGCGAAATGTCCCATTTCATTGTCAGATGAGACCGAATGGAATCGGTCGCCGGCTTTCGCGGTCGCGCAAAGACCTTTAACAGTTCTCATTGTTGTGCACACGCTTTGAAGTATTGGCGCAACCAGGCGGTTTTGCAAGCGCGGCGGGATTGCGAATGCAACGGAGTGCATTCTGAAAATCATGGTAATAATCGACGCCGAGCCTTGCGATGCCACCGCAAGGACACGGAACTCCGGAGTGCGCACTGTGTCTTTTTTTTTACTCTTCCTCTCTTTTCCCGGCGAAATACTGTGACGAGGCCACCTCGCTTCGCGCTTCGGGTTAACGCTCCGACGACGACGACGACAACGACGCGCGGCGAAAACCCGTCAATGATCGTTACTCGCCGTTATTGCCTCTTATTTCGTTCGTTCTTACGATATTTATATCGGAGAAAAGTGAAAACGGATCGGCGTAAGTTCTTACGATGACGAATGGGATAAACGTAATTAATCCTTTGACACGTAACATCAGGTGGCATTATCATAGGCGAGAGGTAAAACAATATTTTAGCTCTTCGACATATAGTAAGTCCTTTTATTAAGTTATAAATTAAAATTGAAACGGAGTACGTATTTTTCGTTTAGAAATAGCGTGTATAAATTTATTTATGTTCTGTAATATGTTTATACTATATAATATATATTCATATTAATTTATGTGTATTACATATGTGAAAACCAGTACAATCCGAATTACATCATTATCCTGTATTAAATTGTAAAATATTTAAATTTCATTTAATTTTATTAATAGAGTACGTAACTTTTTCTCGCTCGTTACTATGTGTGTAAAATATTTAAATTTCATTTTTTGTTAATAGAGCACGTCACTTTTACTCGCTCGTTACTATGTGGCTTACGAGGCCCCCGTCACGTATGATACTTTCGACAAAATTCTGCCAAGTCAGTGGAATCCCAGTTCCTCGTGACGTAATGTAATTAAATAAAATCGCGCGCACTCATTAGCAACTCGTTAATTTAACCTGTTATTGCGAAACGGACGTTACCGTAATGCCGATTTGTGTACGCGCGCTGCACGTGTCCGCGAGTGCCTTTACGAATTAATTCAGCGGAACGTGTTACACGTACCGCGCATGCACAAGCTAGAGTGTCCGGCGTTTTTTTTACATAATATATTGGATCTTAATTCCGCGGGTGACGCAACGCCATCGCATCACGTCGCATCATATTCCGGATCGCGTAAGATTTCTCGCGCGCCGTTAGATAACGGGATGATCGTCGTTGTTTTGTCGTCGCGAACGACGGATACGGTCGCGCGACGTACGATCCTTAGCGAGAACTTAGGAAGAGGAGGATTGACGGATTGCACAATTTGTCGCGTGATCGTAGCCGAATGGAACGTGTGGTTTAACCGTATATGTATTACATGTATATGCTGAGTGTAGCGAGTATATATATCATATCTATCGGAGATCTATGCAGATGTGCGCGATCCGCGAGCAGTTACGCTCGTTCACGCCGCTCGATGTCGGCCGCTTTTTAACAGATTTATAGAAAGAGAGAGGCAAGAAAGTTAGACGTAAAATTATATGGTTTGTTTAATCTTTATCGTTTAACCTTGTTATCGTATCTATCGAGGCATTGAAATTCATATTTAATATCTTAATTTAAAAAATATACATATCTATTGAAATCTATTAAAGTTTAAGATCAAGAATTCGAGAAAGTAAAACTGATTTCATAGAAAGCTCCAAAGTATAGTGTTTTAATAAGAATGAATGAAGATTGTGCATTTACGAAGGAGTATGCGAAAATAATAATGATCGTAACATCTGGTAGCGCTGTCATCTCTTTCGGCCGAGGTGTACAGCTTAGATCCGGTTCCGCGAGCGGAACACGTGAGAAAGACCGTCGCCGCCGCCTCTTCGCCTGCATAATTAATTATGAAAATACCGGCAAAATGCCGGCGAAGATCGCGTCGGCTGTGTACCAGGAACAGGCGCATCATATACAGTTAATTAGAATAAGCGATACAACGAGATCATTAATTCACCCCGGCATTCTCCGGCTGACAATGTATCGGGAAACTTAGTCATTTGCATGAGAGTGCCCGTCGCCGTGATATGCCGTTGTCGCGGGGTATCGTAAGCGCGTGGTTTTACCCATCTGGCTGACGTAAAGTGACTGCGCTGTGCCCGTCCGGGTAACCGCCGAGTAACGAGACTTGTTAATGTCCGTGCGATTCGTACAGGACTCGTTATCATCGGCTCCCGCTGATATTCTTCGAATCTAATTGCTCGACCGCTTTTCGCCGAAATGACGCAATCGCTATATAAGGATGAGCTAAAAGGGAATGTGATTCCGAAGATAGAAATTTTATGCGCGATAATTTGTAGTAATTTCCGCAAAACAAACATAATATCGCGACGATAAAAATGAAAGCTTACGTTATTACTAAATAATGCTGTAATAATGACGATAATTATGTTCAGATGTATAGGAATATATTATCGTCTGAATCGGTAATTTTACATGAAACGTTTAATATTTATTATTTCCGAAAAGCAGCACGTCTAACGTCTTTACATTTTCTCAGACAACTGTTACATCCTTGGTTGATAAGATTCTCGGGATATAATTTACAACTAGCTGGCTGCACGCGCGCTTCACCTCCTCTCTTTGTGACTTGATGTACGACGCAACCGTGGCCTCGCGAGCATCGTCGTAGGAACGATTTCGGAATTGAAGACGAGATAGCGCACGTAAAAACTATTCCACGACTTCTCTCTCTCTCTCTCTCTCCCCCTATTGCTGCAACGATACTTTCTCTTACAATGACGGAACGCATATATTTATAGAGAACTCGTACGCGGCATGTAAACGGGGCAGCCGGACGGCCGATAAACGTATATGCGGCTGTTTGACATTTCAGCGCCAAGTTTGCGGGGAGCAAACTCGCGCGAATTTGGTTCGGAAGTTTAGTTTGTATAGTAATCAGGTCGGGATATGTAAAAGATTAATTTGCAATAATAGCTGCCTTTCACCTGAAAGAAAGTAGGAGTGCACGATGGTATACGTATAAATTATTTATACGTAAAAAAAGCATTTATAAAAAAATTATGGGAAAGTAATTAGAAATATTATTTATTTTTATGTAATAAATAGTATTGATTTAAAGATAATGATGCAATTTTATAAAAATGTATATAAATATCATAAAAATTAAGTATAACTTTATACACGCACGCGCGCGCGCGCGTGACAACTTAAGGTATTTCGAGTTATTTTCATATTATATAATTTTACATAGTATTATAATCACGTAATACTATGTTATATAATTATATATAGTCATGTGATATATATTATATAATCATATTTTTATCAATGCCAGCTTATTCTAATAAGTTTAATATTTTTATAATATTTAATATGATTATATAATTCTTTTTCAATAAATATTTTTGATCACAAGCAAATTTAATACTATATCTGAGCGCTATCTGAGTTTTTTGCTCAGCAAATTAAATTAGAAATTTGCAAATTTTATCTTTGGTTATTCGCTAAAAATTAAATAATTAACGTACTACACATTTTTAATTAACTTTAGATGTTATAAAAGAAACGTAAAATATTTTACATAAAATGTCATGTTCAGCAATCAAATACGACCAAAATTTTTCAAAATTCTATATTTTTAAAATTCCGAAGAAAAAATTGAACAAGATTCAACACCACACGACCTTTTGGACGGTAATGTCGCCATAAAGAATTCCATACGTCCTGAGGTATGAAGTTACGTCGTCGGTCAGACGTGGGTTCAAATCATGACGAATATTCTGTTCGTGCGCCGACAAATATTAGTTGTTGTCTTGACATTAAAACGACTTTTGTCCCTGCGCATTTTTGCCAGTTTATTTTTGCGGGGGCTAAAAAGCGCCTCAGTCTTTCCTTAAATTACACAGGCGGCGAACGATGTTTAGGGAGTAATGCCAATATGTTAAACAAAACCCGACCGACGTACGAAAACAACGAGAGGCACTGGCGGCGTGGCGGCATTAAATATGATAATGACTTCGAAAAATGAATCTTCCGCTTCTACGAAATCCAATGGCGGGATTTTTGCATTTAAGTGCAAGTGAAGCCTTGCAGCACAGTCATCATCCTTTGAGAAATGGGCGGATTAAAATAGATTGGTAGGAATTCCGAGAAGCAGAATACTCATTCTACGAAATCCGGAATTAATCTTACAATTTTTATAGCGCCGCAATAAATCTTCGAATGCCTTTTTGGAATTTAGATTTGTGAAGATGGAAGAATGGAATCTGTCCTGCGAGACAAACGATAAAATTTGCAAATTCTTATTTTTATTTTACGAATGATTTTTATGATCGACTTTTTTCACATCGCGGGGACTGTCCCTTGTAAGAATTCCATGAGCCATACCGAGAAAAGCACATCCGGATACTGTTTTTTTTTTAGAATGTGAAGGATAATCGTTACGTCGATGGAATGCCCCAATATTATTCGGAGAGTTTCGAAGTAGCTCTGAATAATGCGTCATCGCTATATACATATTCGACGCA